TATAAAAGTAGGGATAGACATGTGGATATTATCCGGCTGAACAAAACGTGATCCGTCTCTTAAATGTGTGTCAACCACAGACCTTGGCCCAATCCCAAACCACTCCCTCGACCCTACCCCTCCGTGACGGAGTGAACTCCCCCTGTAGCCACACTCGCAGCTCAACGAGGCTCCCTCCTGTCAGATGGAGGGAGTAAATACAGCAGCAAGCTTTGGGACGGCCTCCCCTCTCTCCAGCAGAAACAGGAAATGCCGTAACTGTATGTAACAACGGTTTCAAATCAGCATCTCTTTGACAAAAAAATTTAAATTAATAACTCAAATAAAACTCCAAGCATCTTTCATCGCAGTTTATCAGTGGATGTTTGCTGGAACTACTTGTTAACAGCTTGTTTCCTGACGGACACACACAGCGTTGAGACCGGTCAGGTAGAGACCGGTCTCAAGTCAGCACCGCTGCAGACTCGCTGTTTGAGGGCTTGATAGCCCACTCCCCCTCCACACCGCTCCACACTCGTTGCTTTGGAACAGCCCTTAATGTGGCGGACCCTCCGCGTGAACGCGGAGTGTGTAGGGGTAGGGTGTAGGGGGCGGTTTGGGAATGGGCCCTTATTTCGAGCTATTTTCCAAAATCCTATGGAGAAGTTGCATTGCGTTTTTGACGAAGGAACCGGAAGGAGTTTACTTCCGGGTTTTAGGACTCGTCACTGCGGTTCTCTATATCAAGCCACGATTATTGTTTTTATTTTAAATTGTATAATGTCTGGCTTTTTTTTGTCGTCTGTGAGGAAAAGAAATGGGGCTCAGAACCTCAGAATACTGAAATCTGTATATATTCTTTTCCTTCTAATTTGTTATTATTTGTGACCCGCTCTATCGAAATCAGTCAAAAGTCGGAACGGCTCATTTAAAAAATAAATAAACGTGGATTTGTGTAAAAAAACTAGTTTTTCAGAGTTCGGGTGTTTTGTTTGATTTTAAATAAACAAAGTCTTGGCTTTCAGAATATGAAACTGTTATTGCCAAAATCTCATGATAAATAATTTTTTGAAGCTTGTAAAGGGAAGAAGACAGGCACCTCTCACTTGCACCCTGCTACTCCGCAGCGCAGCCCCCCCTCCCTCCGGCTGAAATTATTAATGTAAGGCGTATAGTAATCATAGACAGTGGCGCCGCCAGGGATTTTGGGCCCCATGAAAAGATAATCACATTGGTTACTTAAAAATGTTTTTCTTAATGTTCTAAAATTGTTTGGGCCCCTGTCAGTCACGGGCCCTTAGAATCATCCTAACTTTTCACCCCCTTACTGCGCCCCTGACCACAACACATACAATTGCAGTGTTAGATGAATGACTATTTGCACCACTGCACACAACATTTTTCTTTCTTTTTAAACTTAATTTAGTTCAGTTTTCTGTTTTTTATTTCACAATATGTAGTACACAATAAAGTATTCATAGACATAAATAAACAAATCACAGCTGTTTACACCAAAATCAACAGTAGCTATTCTATGTTTTAGATGGGTGTTATCAGGATGAGTTACCTGGCTCTGGAGCACATGAGCAAGTTGAGTGGAGGTCGTGGAGGGGTCATCGTCAATATTGCATCTTTGGCAGGTAACGACCAGACAAAAAAGTGTCTTTGTTACAAGAAATTATTGTTTATTATTATAAACTGCTTTTGACTTTGTTTAAATTCTCAGAATTTGCAGAAACGAGTCGGGTAGAAAAGAAGAGAGATCATATATCTTGCATAACATACAAATAATATATGTTTCACAAAGAATTAAGCCTGCAGACAAAGGACGGTATATCGAAAAGCTACATTCATTGCAGCCAAAACGTTTAAAAAGAACTCATCATTTTAAAGAATACTTCATCCACAAAATGACCAAAATGTATATCATTTACTTACCTGTTGTAACATCTTTAAGAACACTTTTTGTCTGAATGATATCACCCCCATCCTGCAGGTCTGGGCCCTCTACCAAGCTGTCCTGTCTACACTGCCACCAAGCACGGAGTGGTCGGCTTCACTCGAGCCATGGCGGTAAGGATGGTTTTCGAGAAGAAATTTCCCAAAAATAATTAAACATGTCTCAATACAACACGTTCTCACTCCCAACCCATCACATATTGACGGACGGTCAGGGCCCCTCCCCGTCACTCTATTACGTACAGGGTACCCCTTGGAAGTCAGTTTTCAACGGGCAGGGCGTCCCATTGACTTGCATAGAGCTCCCTGAATGTTTGTAATAGACGAGTTGGGATCGCGGCGAAATGCTCTCCGCAGATCCATTCTCACAGCGTTTCTCAACCTTTTTCTTACTCAATATCAAGCCACACTTATTGTTTTTACTTCTTTATTTTAATTGAATAATGTAGGACTTTTGTTGCCGTCAGTTATGGGGAGAGTAGGGGCTCAGAATACTGAAATCTGTATTGTTTCATCGTTTTTTTCTAATTTTGTATTATTTTCTAAACCACACACTGTTATTTACTCACTCAACAATAACACATCATTATCCTTGTGTTTATTTATTTGTTTGATTAATAAACACAAGTTGGAGTCCGTCAGGACCGAGGGTCGGAGCAGCAGTAGTTGCTTTAGAGAATTTTACACCCGGAAGTAAGTATTCTCTCCGCTTCGCTTGACAAACCCCGTGATAGTCCTCAAGCTCTGTGATTGGATGTTTGAGTGTGCGTCGAGGGTTACGCTGAGCGTCGAACAGCACTTTGAAATGGGATGGAACCACGGCAGAGTGTCCAAAACTGCGGTAAACGTATGGCGCAGACAAATCAAGTTCCGGTGAGACAGAGGACCGAGGAGCGAGGAAATGAAAATAGTCGACCTGAGACTGGGCCTATGTGTGTGTGAGGAGCTCCACGGATTGGTCCATTTGGCCGTTACGTCACTTGGTTCTCCAACGAGGCGTTCTGGGGCAGCATAGACAGGTCTTTTCTGTGTTAGAGTTTTACTCGCTACAGGGTGTACTTTGAGGGTTTGTGACTTTGCATACCGTTTACATAACACACAAGGAGACGGGTAATAACCGGAAAAGGATGACATGGGCTCTTTAAGTGCATGTACAGAGATAGTGTTGTGCCCAGTATGGGAATCAATGCAAATTATATGAAATGCTTTGACATTGAACAGGCTTTTTTTTGCAATTATAATTTAATTGCTTTTCCTGAATGAGACACCTTGTCCTTTTAATTGAACACAAGTTGAATCTAAATAATGTGTATGTGGGTTTTTTCCTAGGCTGCCTCTACCGCTTCAGGTTATGGCATACGGTTCAATGTTCTTTGCCCAAGTTTTGTCCAAACTGACCTCTTCGTCAATACTACATCCAATCTTGGGCAATTCTCCCACCTGGCTGATGTAGCCAAACAGATGGAAGACAAGTTTGGTGTATTAAAGTGAGTCTTGCTTGTGTTGATTTGTTAATGATTGTACTAAGGCTCACAAAAAATATCAATTGTATTCAACAATGCATAACCTTAGGTACTACCACATACATTTCCATAAAGCATGAAAATAATTCAATTATCTTTAGACTCCTCTATGACTTTACATGTTAAGATACATTCTTGTGAACATGTGTGATACTGGATACAGGCGTATTCATTAAAATCACTGTACCCTTTTTATTTCAGTACGTCTGAGGTAGCAGAGTGCGTCCTGGAGCTGGTGAAAGACGAGACGAAGAATGGAGATACCTTATTGTTGATCCCTAAAGGAAAACAATACATGACTTTTCCATCTTTCAGTTAGAAGCTCCCTGCAATTAAATCCACAACGCCAGCATTGGCAGGTATTGTAGTATTGGATTTTATAATCAAAACTGCAATGCTTCTCTTCTTGAAAGCACAAAATAAAAAAACGAAATGCCTCAAGTGCCTTTGATTACAACTACATCAGACAAATAATTGTATCTAAAATGTCTTAATATTGTCGACAATGTACATGGGAAGTCTAAGCTGGCCACTGTTGCCACTTCTTCTCCTTTCATTAATTTTGCTAGTACTGCTGAAATAAAATATTTGCTTTTTCTTACAATACATGTGCCCAAGTGTGTCCCTTTACTGTGGTAAAAGTAGCATTGCCGGACTTCAAAAATACTACATTACATTAGTAATAATCGATGGATACACACACACACAATCATATGTGTCCGGATTTGAAATAAATGTGTGCTTCTATTCAATGATTTTATAATAATAAATAATAATACATTTATTTTATATAGGTGCCTTTCAAGGCTCTCAAGGTCGCCGTACAAACACATAAAAAACAAGATAGACAATACATAACACCAGCATAAGAGACATAAACAAGACAGTGCAGTATATAAATCAATCAAATAACCAAATGAATAAAAACAGACGATGTGTGATGGATAATGATCAGGGTGGATGTACAAGTGACTTATATTTCCTGGGTCTGTTTACAGAGAGAACAAACATGCATTAACAGGAAGGCAAAAGGAATGAGCGGACAGATTACCACTGGCATTGCGAGGCATAACCTCTTTTAAAATCACAGTATTACGTTTGCTGCCTTTATTATGCAAAATATTCAAATAGAGTCAGATGGCAAAGCCTAAGCAAGCAATATTTGCTTCTTGAAGATTTTTAAGTGACTGACTGAAAGGAAAGACAGAGTTATGTAAGGTTTTATTCATTTATTAATAAAATCAGATTGTTATTTTTGTAGACTATACATATAAAAAACACTTAAAACAAACATGTTATATCATCTAGAATATGATCAGATGTGTAAGGATTTAACAGATCATTTTTCACATGACTGGTGAAGTACTGGTGATTATTATACCATGATGAAACATTTTTAAGCAGATTAGTTCAGTGTGAAACATTACAGGATTGAGTTAGTGCAGTGTGAAACATTACAGGATTCAGTTGGTGGGCTTTGTTTTGTTGGTCCGACTGTATAATCGTTACCTATTAGGTAAAAACAGGAAATGTCATGTATTTCTTTCCATTGTATCTAATTTGTAAGGCCTCTCCATTCTTGGTCTCATCCGTCACCAGCTCGAGGAGGCAATCAGCTACTTCAGACACACTGAAAGAAAAAGGTAAAGGGATTTTATCAAAAGAAGCAAAACCATATTGTAACAGTTACATCACAATAATCTTTTTATGTCCCGTTTCCAAATGTGTGAGTGTTAATCTATTTTACGTATTGATTTGAATTTCTTTTAGAAAATAAGCCTTATTTAGAGGTAAAGGAAGAACATGTTAAAACGACTCAAATAAAGCACTCTGCCAAAAAGAAAATGCAGGCAGAAACCTAACCATCCTAACCTCAATCAAATCAAAGGATAATAACAATGACAAAACATTAGGCTTGTTTGAGACAAGCGAGGCGAGGCGGCGCAGTTCCTCTCCACGGGCTGCAGAAGCGGAATGCTTGATGGGAAACGACTCGCTGGTATCTCGAGCTGAGCGCTCATTGGTGGTTTTTACCACGTGCTAGTGATGAAACTCTCCAATTGGCTCGGCAAAAGTTTGTTGTTGTTTTGGAGAAGGGTCTAGCTGCGGCCGCGGACAGTACAGTACACTACACGACACTAAACGCCCAGCTGACACGACACTACGGTGGCTGAGAAGGGTCTAGCTGCGGCCGCGGACGCGAAGCCCCTCACTGCAGTGCGCATCGAGTGAGCTCGATGTGGGCGGGAGCTCAACGTGGGCGAAGCTTCACAGATGACGCGTTGCATCGTGGTTGCATCCTGTTTCCCGGGTAGCAGTTCTCTTCCCTCCCTTCAATCTAACCCTTCCCTTCCCCCCATCCTAACCACTCCCTATTTTTTTACCTAATCCTAATCTTCCTTCCTCCCTCCCAAACCTAAACCCCAAAACCTCTCCTCCTGTCGTGTAGTGTCGTCAATTCGCTTTTAACGGTAGTGCCTCTCAGCCACCGTAGTGTCGTGTCAGGTGGGCGTGTCGTATAGTGTCATGTAGTGTCCGCGGCCGCAGCTAGACCATATTGTTGTTTTGTGTCAGTTTTACGTCGCCCCCTCCATTAACATTTTTCATAATTGTTCCACAATGTTTATCATCATGCAATTAATATCTATATATGTTATACTATACTTGCACTGCTTACCGTTTTCATACTTTATATATCTTAGCATATTCATACACACTGTTCATACTGCTCACAGGCTGCTGTGTATATTCCTACCCCTCACTGTTTATTCATCATTCAATTCATTCTATATTTTATTCTGTAGATTGTGTACATTACTTTTCACTTTACTGCTTGTTGCACTCCTGGTTGGAAGCTAAACTGCATTTCGTTGTCTCNTATGGAAACTACAGTTTTCTATACAGCGGACTACAACATGGATGTATAATAAGAACGACGGACTCATCTAGAGACTGCACTGTGCTCTGATGCTGTTGCTTTATGCTTTATGAACAACAGAGAAACATATTCTTCATGACCAAAGTTGGAATTGAAATACAAAAGTGAAACGTATGCTCATCACCCTCTCCCTCCAGTCCACATTAATAAAAATGATCCCAATACGTATGATTGTATGAACTATGAAAATATCTTANAGAAGAAGAAGAAGAAGAAGAAGCCGACTCGGAGCTGTCCGACTTCAGGCGAGCTTTTTGAGACCTCCCCCGGCTGCGATCGGCTATATTTTCGTCTACTTTCGAGGCGAGCCGCAACGCGTCTCAAACAAGCCAATTACGTTTCTTAAGGCTGCTTCACAATAAAATCCAACCTGTTTTGCCAGTTGAAAGCTTTTACTGTGTAGCAGTGATCACAATAGAATGCCCCTTAGAGTAATACAGATCTGACCAGGTGTAATGAGAGTGAACAGTAAACGTGGTAGACTTTGCCAGCAACAATATCTTCTATAAAGAGAAGTAATAACTGAATGTACAAAATGCACAGCAAAAATATGGAAACAAAATAGGTTTGATTAAATAAAAGAAAATCAGCTCACGTTAACGTGCTTTTTTCTGCATTTCTTTGGAATTCATCAGCCAGTTGGGAGAATTGTCCCAATTTGTTCGACAGGCCTGTCAAGAGTTCAGTTTGGACAAAACCTGGGCAAACGGCGTTGAATCGAACACCGTAGCCTGCGGCAGTAGAGGCAGCCTAAAAGATAAACACATAATGAGGCCTTAAATGCTCAGAGGCACAATGTATAGCATACTGGGAATTAAAAGTCATGATGTCCTTTTCTTTATAAATAAAATATATAGTAAAAAACCTTACAGCCATTGCTCGAGTGAAGCCGACCACTCCATGTTTAGTGGCAGTATAGACAGGACAGCTTTTTCCAGGACCCAGACCTGCAGGATGTGGGTGATAAAAGTCAAACAAAAAGAGGGACAGCTTTTGGAGGTATTAGACCTGAAAGATGTGGGTTATCATTTAACATACTTTTGTTTTCATGCAGTACTTTCCTGTTTGATTAATTCATGTCAGAAGTGGGACAGAGATGAAAGCTTTCACCAGTCACAGTGATACCAGGTTTGAATTTAAAATGTTAATGTTTTCTTGTCAAAGTTTTAACAAGAAATTGAACGCTAACACAGTAAAAGAGGAGGGAAGTAAAAAAAAAAGCGAGATTTTAATTAAATAAAGCTGATTCAAAATAACGGGAACCAGACCAAGCAAAGTAAAAAAAAAAGAAGAAAATTGAACGAGTACAGACCGGGAGGCACCAGAAATAAGAACAGAAACACACGCAGGACCTCGGGAAAACCAGACAGGAACTGACAAAGAAAAACGAGGAAGACAGGCATTTATAATTAAAAGACTAATCACAGAGAAAATAACAGCTGGAGAGAACAGGTGAAACAAAGGGGCAGCAGGTGTACACAATCATACAATCACAGAAAATAAAACAGGAAACAACCTAAAACCAGGATCATGACATGCATTCAAAATGTTTCTATTATAAAAGTTGAAAAGTATTGGCATCAACATATACTCAAAAGTAAAAGTACTCATTATGCAGATTGGCCATTTCAGAATAACATATTATATGTTTTGATTATAAATATTGATGCATTAATGTGTTTATCAAAGCTGGTGAATGTACAACTGGTTATTATTAGTTTTTTAAATGTTGATTATATATCACATTAATCCAAATCTGTGAAGGTATTACATAAATGATTTACCTTTGGTAGTAGGGTAAAAGTGCAAAGTAGCAACACATTTACTTGGGTACAGTACTTGAGTAAATCTACTTGCACTGCATTTCTGTGCCTTTGATTGATTTATATCCTCCAAACCCCACATTATAATGCATTGTGGGTCATACCTGCCATGGATGCAGTGTTGACGATGACCCCTCCCTGACCTCCAGTCATCTCGTTCATGTGCTCCAGAGCCAGGTAGGTAAACCTGACAACAGCCACCTGCATCATAAAACATTTATTGCAGTGCACACGGGGTAATGTTCAACTGAAGAGTTCATCCCGGTAAGGACATGTTAACCTTTGAAACGTTTTATTGTAGGTGGTAAATATAAATAGCCTACAAGTTCTTACGAGGTTTATGGAGATAGTTTTCTCCCACTCTACTTCATTCAAGATGCCAGCGTTGTTGCACAGGATGTCCATTCTTCCAAATGTTGCTAGAGTTTCTTGAAAGGCAGCTTGAAGCAGAAAATAAAGCAATTACTTGTTAACGAATAATTTTGCAGCCAAGTTTTAACACTATAGCAGCCATGTTTTCCAGTGCCAAAATTTTCAACTCCAACAAGTGAGTGTGTGTTGCCTTTGATTTGCTCGTCTGATTCAACATTACAGTGTAGAAAGAGAGTACTCTGTTCTCCATACAGTTGGTCCAGGGCTTCCTTCAAACTCTCCCCTTTAGTTTTATTCGTATCCAAGAGGGCAACCTGAACGAGTGAAAAGACATCAGATATAAAATTGTGCTTTTAATGGCTGCCGTTTTGGACTGTTTCCATAATAAATGCAGCACCGATCAACCTTCATTGATTGTCTTTTATGCTATAATGGACATAGAAAACTTTACCTTAGCCCCGTTTTGCAGGAGTAACTCTGTTATTGCTTTTCCTATCCCCTGGGCTGCTCCGGTCACTACGGCGATTTTACCATTTAACGCCATTTCAGGTATTCAATCAGAAGGGAGGAGGTGGTCAGCCGTATGATACCCACTGGAAAGGGATAGATCAAATGATGAGAAAATGGTGAGTTGAGATGTTATTGTGCTTTTAAATAGGGAGGAGGTGTAACCAAGAGAGGAACCACATGATACCATAAAGATAAGGATTAACACACCTTGAGTTTTAGTGGCTTTCACAATAAATTGCTTTTGATGTAACAAGCTTATCATTTTACATTTGGTATGGCCTATGGCTTAAAGATCACATTTAAAAATGATAAGGAATTATTATAGAGCTAATTGTTGCATGAAATTCAGATCCGCTCATTTTCAGACTGAGGTTCATCACACTGGATAAAAACAACAATATAATTGTGATTCATTGGGAAAATAAACCTGCCTCTCTCTCGCCAGATGTATGACAGTTGTTATCGTGTTGTTTCATTGTAGGAAAGATGACTTGCTACTGCATATATGCACAACAACTTGTTTTGTTTAAATATAGTTGTATTTACTGTATTAAATGTGTCATGGGAGCAAATTAGCCCGGCATTGACTCAACGACGAGTCATGATATGGAGGAGAATAGATGAAGCAAGAACATTCAAGCCCTTAGGGAAATGGGGCAGGTTTTGTTTAAGTGTACATTAAAGATTGGATTTAAAACAAAGATGAGGTGGCAAAAACTAACCTGTCTCACGACGGTCTAAACCCAGCTCACGTTCCCTATTAGTGGGTGAACAATCCAGAGTGCAGATTGAACTAATGTTGATCAATAACCTTGTTCTGACCCACAGTGACACCTGCTGGTAAAACTCCATTCAAAGTGTCCAGGAGACGTTTGCCATTATAATATATGAATAACATTTCAGGTCAGAAATCATATAAACCTTATGGGCCTACAGTATAGTACAGTACATTTTAAAATCTATATATTTTTTGAAAGAAATCAAAAGTAAAATGTTTGAAAGTACACATTAATATGCTTATAATACATCTTTTTTTTTTATAATGGAACATTCTGAATAATCAATAACCAATTTTTTTAAGGACAAAATAAATGCTTGAATATACTGTTTCTTGTAGAGATTATGCATCATAATATGTGTTTCATCAGATGTGCCTCAGCCTGCCACTGTATGTTGCTCCAATAAAGCAAATTGCCGCCAGCTTTAATTCGGTGTCTCCAACCTTATTTAGTTTCAATTAAGTACCATCATGTCTCCCATTGGTCACATGCACATAATGGGCAACAGAATGATCAGAGCCAGGGAGAGCACAGTAACAAAAACAGAAACTTCTGGAGCAGGAAATAACCGAAAAGGCAGATGTTTTTTTTTCTCCAGATGGTGTTCAAAACTTCCAGAGAACAAACTGTGGATATCCATGTCCAGATTGTAAACGTGACGAAGTGCATGCATTACATTACCGTAAACTTCCTAAAAGATTGGATGCAAAGGCAAAAAGGCTTTTGAATGTCTCCCATATACTACCATTCTTTGATTGTTGCAAGAGGCTTTCTTGTGAAAATAAATGAGACATTTGGAAGTAAGACTCAGGTCTACAGCAACAGTATTTTGATTTGTTTTCAATCACCCTTTTCTTAAACAATATTTGAAATACTCCAATGTTGAGGAGAGACATTTCTATTCGACTTTTTCTCTTCTAATTATCTTATAGTTTACAACCTGTTTTGCAGGTTCAGATTTTACACACAGAACACAAAAAACTAAAATATAATGCATTTCTATAGAATCATACTCCTACTCTTCTACACTATTATTTCAGAGGTGAATATTGTACTATTTACTATTTTTATTTGACAGCTTTAGTTGCTTTGAATGCATTAATTCATATTATTAATACATCCACTAAATCACCAATAATCTATTAAGTATTATTTGAAAATAAGATAACATTATTATTGACCTTTGATCCATATAGTTTATAGACAGTATGTATAGAAAGAGATTAAGGTCATTATAGTGAAATCATTGAATACATTTTTTTTGGGATACTTTTATTTTTTGTACTTCAAATACATTTGAATTCCTAAACTTGTTTACTTTTATTTATTTTTTAAATAACATTTGGGAGTTTTACCTTTAACATAATACTGTGTGGTGTTAATAGTTCTGTTGAAATATAAGATCTTTGTCAGTGGTGTAAAAGTACATTTACTCAAGTACTTTACTTAAGTACAATTTTAAAGTACTTGTGCTTTACTTTACTAATTTGTACTTTTATTCTACAATTCAGAGGTAAATAGTAAGTAATGCTTCAATCAAAACCAATAATATATAATTCTGAAATGGGCCAATTTGGAAAATGAGTAAATTTAGCTGACAATACATTCGTACTTTTACTTGAGTAACATTTTGAATGCAGGACTTTTACTTGTAAAAGGGTATTCCTACTTTTTCTAAAGTAAAAGATCTGAGTACTTCTCCCACCTCTGTAACATCTGCGTATGAGGTGCACTTGAGTTCGGTGTAGTCAATCTATTAAGAAGAATGTCCCTGCGCGTCTTTTCGCGGCAGTACGGTCAGCCCCCACCGAAGGGTTCTGTACGTGGCAGCGTCGGTCTGAAACCCCTCTATGTCCTATTCATAACCCCTGGGTACCAAGTGAAATTGCGTCCACATACTAAAGTGTGAGCTTACATTTCAAGACCTGAGAAAATACAGGTAAGAGCACGTTTAATATTGTGTCTTAGCTCTTCTTTACATCAGTGGAAGGGGGCTGAGTCGCTTAGCTAGCGCGCATTACCGGACATGCTGTGATAGTTGTCAATTCTGGGTCCAACAGGCTTTTTGGAGGGGAAGCCTAACACCAGAGGCTTAAAACCGTGTGGTACCGAGCAGTTTAAGGACTCGTAATTTTCTGGAGGTCTGTTTATTTCCGACATGTTGGCTTCATTGTAAGCCTCCGGGAGGTGGATGTTACTGTGTTGCACAAGTGGAGAAAGTTTGGAAATATAGCTAGAACTTTGTGGGAGAGCATCTCAGTGACAGTTACTTTACATGACATTGTTGAATATTTACTCACTTCTTTAACGCGGACGGTTACACGAATTTTTGAATGTTGGCACCGTAGGATACATTTTTAGCATACAGTCCAGGCTGTTTTGCACAGGCTGCAAAGACATACATGAGACCCGAAAGAGCTGAAAGTCTCAGGGATTTCTAGAAACAACGATCTGACGTCACGGGACGGCTACTATCCAGCTGTGAGCAGAGTCGGGGTCTGCAAGGCAAGGCGCAGGGCAAAGTCGTATTTTTCTGTGACAATTTCGGTGAGGTCTTAACAATGATTGTTACCTAACTAACCACACTTTACAAATCTATCAGGTTTTAGATATCATTTATGATATGATGAGTCGGTTTACTCATATCAATGTGTTTTTATTGGAACTACTTTCTACCAAAGAAATAGTGCCAATAAGAAAGTGTGTCAAGCGTGAGCTGTGGTGATGGTTCAGAGTAAGGGGAAATATGTTATTATTTAGAACTACTTTCTAGCAAATAAATAGTCCCAATAGAAAAAGTGTCAACCTTTAGCTGTGGTGATGTTTCAGAGTAAGAGGACACTGGCTTTTGAAAGACATGTTGCTGATGATTTTATATTTAGCACACTAGACAGAGGCTTTGTCCACCCTTGTCAAATGCCACAATATATCACTGTACACACATCCCCAGAATAAAAGGTTGCATGCACACTAGGCAAATGTTGCCCTGCAGTGATTTATGTGTAGTATAATGGCAGTAATGGGAAATGGCATAAATGGAGGGCACCAAATAGAGGGATGTCATAAATCTGTCAGCAGTAATTGGGCTATAAGGCAGGTGACATGCACTCTAAAGAGACTGATGTCTTGCTAGATTGCTATAACTGCTTTATTAATTTGTGTGAGTCTCCGTCTGATGCTTCCCCCTTCCATTTATACATTTAATTTGCCTTAAGTGCCCGAGTCTGGTTGTCTTTTTATTCTAAATATTGAAGCCATGCTTATCTAAATGTCTGGGTGATTTACATGTACATCTCTTTATTTATCAAAACCTTATTTATATGAGGCTTTAGTGTTTGCATACCAGAACAAGTTTTGCAAGAGGATGGTGTGTTTCACTACCCTTGCACATATAAAATGTGTGTGTGCGTGTGTTGCTTATGTAAACTAATGCATGCTTCTTCAAGCCTGTCTGTCTCTTTATGTTAACATATGGCTCACGCTCTGTGATCAGTGATACCGGTACGAATGAGCTCATACCAGGTTGAAATGAACATCTTTGCAACACAGCATTCTGGTAATAAATTACTGGGTCTTTCTGCCACGTTGGGATGTTTAGTCATGTCTGGGACACATTTAGAAAATGGTTCTTCTGAAGGAAAAAAAACATCTTTCATATTTTAAGCTGCTTTGTAGCTGCAGATGTTTAAGCTTTCATAGCCTCTGAAACAAGTTGTCCTTAATATCAACCACATATGGCCAGCAGGAATCTTGGACCTACACCTGGAAATCATTTGAACAAGGGATGTCCCGATCACCTTTTTTTGCTCCTGATCCGATTCCGATCATTCGATTTTGACAATCTGCTGATACCGATTTTTCCCGATCCGATCTTTATGCAATGCATTAAGAGAAAAAAAAGGTAACAGATAACGGCTGGTCATCCAACGCGATGAATTCAGCTATCTTGGCTGTTCTTCTTTGGGCCATTTCACTGTTCTGGGGCAGTTTCTCTTTCCTTTTAAAAGTCTCTGAAAGTGTCGGTTGTTTCAGTGCCGTTACCTGAGTGGCCGCTGTGTAGCCTACTCATCGTGTTGTTGCTTGTGTTTGTTTCTCAGATGGCATATTAGATTGGTCGTGTTGAACGTAGCACTGTTCTTTCCACCACGCGGAACCTCCGCCTTGCAAACATTGCATCTGGCTGTTACACTGCCTTCGCTTTCAATATTATAATACTTCCAAACTCCTGACATTTCCTCTGTCCCGACTCCCGAGTCACCAGCTGAACGTAGCCTCTCGTTAGCTTACTGCTACTATTAGACACTGCGCCCTGCCCACACTGTTGCCAGATTTGAGAGAAATATGCAACCAGGTCTATGAAAACAAGCCCAAAAGAAGCAACACATACATGATGTTGTGTCATTT